CACTATGCAGAGGAAGAGATACGGCACCAAAGGACAGCCCTATCGGACCCCTTTCCGTACCTCTACCCTATCCTCGATCCAGCCATTGACCAGAATTCGCGTGCCGGAGCACCTGTGCAACCCTTTCACCCACTCCATGAAGCCATCTGGGAAACCCGAACCGCCCATCACCTCGAAGAGGAAGTTACGGTGCACCGAACCATATGCCTTCTAAAAATCCACAAGTAACAGGTACCAGTCACTGTCTCTCCTAGCAGCTTCCATCACATCTGCTATAATCGTCACAGCATCCGACAGCCTTCTGCCCGGAAGGAAACCAAACTGTTCCCGCGAGATGCACTTGTGCAGTATGGGCTTCATCCTGTTAGCCAGCACCTTCGCAAGGACCTTGTTTGGTTTTATTTAACAGAGTGATGGGTCTGTAATCCTTCAGCTCTTCTTCCAGTCCCTTCTTGTGCAGGAGTATGGTAACTGCCTCGCCAACCTTCTTGGGTAACACCACGTCCTTCTCAAACTTGTTAGCCACCTCCAGCACACTGCTCCTGACCAGGTCCCAATCCAGCTGAATAGTTCCTTCAGCAACCCATCATTGCCCGGCGACCTGTCATTCGCCATCTCCTTCAAGGCACCGAGGACCTCCTCCCTCCCTGAGGGGAGCATTAACTTATCACCATCCTCCGCACTCAACTTTCCCCCTGCCTCCCGCTTCCACTTGTCCACCAGGACTGGCTCCTCCGACTCCCCAAACACCTGCTAAAATTGTCGTGTAGGAGCCGTTAGAACCTCCTTCACCCCCCCTATATCCCCCCCTTCCTGTCATACCACCTTAATCACCGTTCTGCCTTTCTGCGATTTAATCTTGGCTGACAGGTAGGCTGAAGGGATCTCCCTTTCCAACTCCATCCGCTCGCCTGCCAGTAGATGCAGCCGCTCCATGTGAGCATCTTGATACGCTTTCAGCAAGGCGCCTTGGGCTGTTAACTCCCTCTGTGTCAGAATGCACGTCTGATCTGTCATCGCTGCTTGACGCAGTGATGCAACCTTCTGCTCCAGATGAGTCCTAGTGGCATGAACCCTTTTACCCTCCTCCCTCACGTACCCTTTGAGTCCAGCTTCGATCCAGTCCATGAGCTTGTCGAAATCCCTTGCTCCCCTCTCCTTGTATCTTGCTGCCACAGCCTCCACTATTGCTCTCACCCCAGGTCACGAAGACAGGCTGGCCGAAAACCTCCACATCCCTAGGCCCATGCCTGCTTTGGACTTGTCCCGCAGCAGATGCGTCCCAAACTAGTGATCCGATGTCCCGCTCGGAATCTATACATGACACATCCCCACCACCAGGTGAATCATGGAGTGGGAGATCAAGGATCGATCAATCCTCGAGCTCCCCTTCACCGACGCCACTGCATAAGTCTATTCCTTCTTCATCAGGTGGAAGATCTGGAAAGCATCCCCCATATGGTACTTCGCCAACACCTGCATCAACCTCCGTTCTCCCCTGTGATCCCTAGTCCAGACGCTTTGTCCAAAGCCGGATCTTCAACAACATTCAGATCCCCCACAAGAATATGGTGATCCACCGGCTGCAGCATCACGACAAAAGGCTCGAGGACATCCCGCATAAAGCACCCTCTGTCTGGCGCTTGAGCTGGGAAGTACGCCACTTCCACAACAAAACTTTCCTCCTCTCAGACAATGTTAACACTGAGTAGCCTTCCTGACGGATGCGCCACGCAGTCTTTGAAGACCATCCCATCCTTGAAACTGATGATCGCCACCCCACTGGCCTTATGCGCAGGCGATGCCACTGCCACCGCTATTGCCTTCATCTCAGTCCAGAAATTTTGATTTGCCGCAATCTTGGTATCTGCTAAAACTACGATGTCCGCTACTTTCCTTTGCCCACTCCTGAAGCTTAATCCTTTTTTCCCCTACTCCCCAGCCCGTTCGCATTGCACACGCAGATGGATAAGGTGGAGTTTCTACCCATTAAACACCAGCTCGAGAGCCCCCTAGCATCCACGGAGCATACATGTCAGTACTGCAGGACGATACTGTACTCCACTATGTCTTGGTACAAGCAAGCTTCAGCTACATAGTGCGCTACTACGGTAAGAGCTTCCTTCACGGCCCAGCCACTACTTCCAACCCTCCCCTATTGCAGGTGCAAAAAGGGATCACTAGCTACCTCCAACGGCAGGCACCACGAACGCTCAGAGACAAAACCGCTGATGCAGCACCGCAGACCGTTCAGAGACTGAACTCCTTCTTCACTGATGCGCTGCTCGTGAGGACCTTGGAGGCACAGGTGACGATGATGGAGAGATCCAACAGCCCATACCGGTGGTGAGCAAGATCGATGTGCTTCTCTGCTAACCCAAACGACGTGCCATGTGCCTTCCCACAACCCGTCTGTATGCAGATCCAATCTTCTCGACTAGGACCAGCCGATACTAGCACCATGGTGGGGTCCTTGAGGATCCGCCTGACGTGATCTGTCAGCTTCAGGGAGGTGGCTGCAGGAGCAGTACGTAAGCAGAAAGACACTCAAACAAGGAGGAGGAAGGAACAGCTCACAATCTAGCGAGAGCAAAACCGTAAGTGCAGACGAAGAAACATAGGTAGAGAGGGCGACGATAGCCGGACAAGAGGTGAGAAGCTCGGGTGCGTTACCATTCAGCTGATGGAGCTTCCCCAACGGCAGCTTCCAGTTCTCAATATTGTTCTGCCTGTTAGTAATATACTCATCATGCAGCTTTGACACATGCTGCCCGGCACAGTAGTTGCATGTGAGTGCAGGATAGTGAACCCGGAACAGCATGTCCATCGTTTTGGGGTCACCCACGATATGCCGCCAACGGTACTTGTCACCAGGATGCTGCAGCACCAGGCCTTTAACCTTTCCAGTGTCCAGTCCAGATACCGGATCCTTCACACAATGGAAAAACCTTCCTGCCATGAAAGGTGTCCGCTCCCTCCCGACCAGCGGAACGACCACGAGCATGTCTTCCAGTTGCTCCGTCCTGACCGCAGCAGGTATTTCCTTAAAAACCACCTCAATCAGCTCCAGATGATACTGCTTCTCCTTCAGGTACGCCGCGTTCTCCGAAAACTGTCAGGTTAATTGCAGACTACGGCCATTGGCACATAGGTGATCAATCTTCTGAGCCCGAACAAACTCCGCATCTTCATACTTAAGGAAGGACACTTGCAGTCGACCAAACCTCTTATTCGACAGGTAAGCCGGCGGCAACTCTTGGAACATGGTCGTAGTCGAAACCCCCGTTGACAGCTCCTTCTTCCACAGCTTCAGCAGAATGGACACCGTGTCCTTGGTCCTCCGCGTCTCCTTTAGGTGAGCAAACGAGATCAGCAGCGTGATAGAAAACTTTGTCCTCGCGTTAGCATCCCCTTGCTTGATCGGATCCAGTCGCTCATCAGGATCATCGCTGAGATAACCATCAGCATCTTCAGGTACCCCTGGATCCACAACCTCATCCTCTTCAGGACGCTCCGGCAGGACAACCACAGGCTCCACCCGGACCGGGCTAGCAGGAACCACCGGAACCGGCTGAGCAGAAACCTTCAGGACAGACATCGACGGGATAGTTGGCTGTCGCTCCATCAGCTGCTTGGACGGTGACTGGAAAGGCGTGGGGGGTGACGAGTCATTAGAGTCATCCTCCTGAAAGCTCAGACGACCTGAGCACGTTACAACCCCATGCTTCGGCTTGGTCATTGTGCGATGATGATAAACCCACAGCAGCTGACTGATGGCTGATCCTGGGGTAAAACTGAGCACCTGAAATATTACTTCCTTGATGACCTTGTACTTCCACAAGCGCCATGCTGTTGCTATTGTAATCCAGGTCGTTAAATCCTCGTGATACGTGATAGGCTCGCCCTGTATGCCTTCCAGGTAAGCTCCAGGTTGCTGTCACCATTGCAAAATTGTCGTGCCTTTGAGTCTTGGAATTCCCGAACCTTGATAAGGTAGACGTAATGTTCTGTGCTGGAACAATAAAAGTTGTCTCCCTTATAGTAGTAAATGCCAGGATTCCGAAAATGTAAAAAAAAAGGCGATCTGACAAGAAATTGAGTGACATTGAGACTGCCGAAGCGCACTGCCATGGCCATGGCAGACCAGGACTAGTTAGTGAAGAAGGATGTAGGGAATGCTATCAAAATCAAAGTGAGCTAGCTAGGAAGAGACGCCCTGAATGGGGAGAGGTTTTAGGTGCTAGGAAAATGTCGAGAGAGAAGAGGGACGAGATTAGAAGAGAGAGGGATACAAGGAGGGAGATGTACCCTCTGCAGTAGGTTTCAGCAAGGTAGCACACCTACCAAGCCTAAACAAATAATGATATAA